GTACAATCGTAAAAATTGTGCTAAAATTTCAGAAAACCGGGTCTGTAGGAGATACAAAGCAGTTACCGTGAATGGTGTTCGCTATCGCGAGGTGATAACAAACTTTTTGTTTCCGGTATTGAAGGATATGTGTGAGAGGGGGGAGTTGGCTTAGAATTAAATCTGTTAGCCACAGACTTTTTAAAGAAAAACATGATCTGGACGATATGTGGTTCTAACAAGATGGTGCCACTTGCCACACAGCTAACGAAACAATGGCTCTTTTGGGCAAAAAATTCAATGGCCGTGTTATTTCACGTAATGGTGATGTCAATTGGTCGCCTAGGTCAAGCGATTTGACACCGATGGACTTCTTTCTTGGATGTTATTTGCAAGAAAAGGTGTACGTCAATAAGCCTACAACAATTCAAGAGCTAAAAGATGAGATAACTCGGCACCTTAACGACATTGAACCTCAATTATGCCTAATCGTCATAGAAAATATAGACCATCAAATGGAGGTGTTCTGCCGAAGCCGTGGCAAATATATGGCCGATATTATGTTTCACATATACTATTATAAGGAAATAAAATTTAAACAATTTCCCAAATATTTTGTGTTTTATTTACAATTCAGATCGGCCCTTATTAATGGTTCACCCTTTAGTTTGAAATAAGGAACAAAAAAATTTTTGCCAATCTTTTAAGAAATTTTAAAAATCTTGTCTAAATATTTGTGGCAAGATATTTTTGTTTTACTATTTTAGTACTATTTCCATTTTGTATCCTCCTGTTCTAACCACTTGCTTTTATTGTTGAACCTAACTATCAAAGCTATAAATAAACTAGTGATTGACAGAGTTCCGTTATTTAAAACGTTGTTTAGAAATCTCAGTCATCAACTAATAAACCTATTATATATTTATAAAAAAAAAGATAAATTACTCTACTAATATCAAAATTATTTTAAAATTACACATTTTAAATGCTGTGATAATTATTAAAGTGATTTAAACTGGTAACTAAATGTTATCGAAAGTATTTTCTCTTGTTTAATAAACTAAATTACTTCTATATATGTTTCCTCTTCCTGTTTTAGATTTGTCTCTAGTATTGCAGTGATATTTTTTACGGATGCACCATAAAAGCAGTTTCATCCTATTGATACGGGTTTTAAGATGATCTGGGAAGAGAATTTATGTATCAAACACAGTTAATTTTGGCCGAGTCTATGACTATGGTAATGAGTAATGAATATTAGTCGCCCATTTTCATTTTCTTAAGACGCTCCTCTTAATTATTATTGTTGTGTGTTTCAACAATATTTTTATTAATTTTTCTTATCTTTGGTCTATATATCATCCGATTTGCCACCTTATTTTTGGACTACGCTTTAGCCTTTTTTTTGCTGATTTTCAATCCCCAACTTCTTTTTATGATATCGTTACCTTCTCTTTTTTAAGCATGTCCCATTTCAATCATTAGATATTTATAAAAATAACAATGTGTTTAGTGTCCTGAAGGTTTTTATTTAACGAATCATGATCAGTGCTGCTCTTGGACAGGGTGCTAGTGGTACCCGTGACTCAGACGCAAAAAGCTACCTAAGTCACAAGATTTCACTACATTCTCAAAAATGATTTTTTTTCTCAAATGACCTGTCATTCGATTATTCTTACATTTTAAAATATTCAAAAGAGTGCGAATGAAAAAGTGTCACGAAGAAGAGAGCATGTAAGAAAACTAATAAACACAATCAAACGACAAATATAAACTGCTACAAATTATCTATGGAAGAAAGGGCAATAGTAAAAAGAATAGAACCTGGCAGTGGCGGCTTGTGTATAAGTGATGTAGAACTGCAAAACTGCAGAACTGCCAAAAAATGCAAGTATATCATCTACATTTCACAGAAATTATTTTAGACTTTCTAAAATACACGTAAAATAAATTGTATAGATAATCTCATTAATTTTATTTATTAAATAATATCTACAGCGCGCGAACGTATTCTACTGTCATTACGTAGCTTAGAATAAGTCTAGAGCGGACCAGTAAAAGATTAAACAAATGCTGGCCAGGTCATACACTTATCTTAGCTGGGTTGCTTTGGGACGGTCTTTAAATCGCTTGGGCGCCCGCGCTCATCGTCTCACCTCCCGCGGTTCTAAATAGTATCGCCGAGACACGTAGTGCATTTTTATTAAAGAAATGTCAGTTCTGAAACAAAATACAACTTATTATTTTGAAATTTTATTAATGTTAACTTTTCCATATTCCAGTAACTAGGGCTTAACTAAGATATTTTGAAGTCATGAAAAAAAATCATTAAAAACTTGTTAATTTAGAAAGTACTTATCCCGTAAAATCTGCACGCCACTGTGTTTTTGATGATATTTTAACAAAATTAAGTCATATCCATACAACTTTTTTTAAATTTAATAACGATGGTTAATTTTTAATAGCACTTTTCTTTTAGTTTTACACTCCAATTCGTCTGTAGCCAGGCGGCACTGCAGTTTGCGGCTTATTGTACCACCATTTGAAGGTCCTACTACTTTCCTATTCACAATTCATTCCCTCATTCATTCTACGTTGTCGACTGTTAAACACTAGTCGCCTAAGTCCCATGGTGGAACCTCCCAGTGGTCACGCATCCACTACTCGACTGGAGAGATTACGGCTTAACCCGAATCGGGCTTGAATGTTGCGAGTATGTGGATGCACACTAATCTCAAGGCTAGCCTCTCCGGCTATAATGACACTTAGTAATTTCAAGCAGTGTTAGAGTGTACCAATAAAAAATCTCAGATCGGAAATTTTGGAAAAATGAGATATTTCAATTATACAGGGTGTACCAATAAAAACTCACAGGCCGGATATTTTGGTAAGTAATAGAGATATTTTAATTCTGTAAAAGCCAGTTTATAGAGCGCTAAGAGATCTTCAGTTTTAGGTATAAATTAATTTTAATTAGGTCAATATGTAGATGGCGCTGCGCTCAATATTTTTTTTTCGATGGAAGGATCTTTCTTATGTGGCGCATCTGGTAAAAAATGTATTTTTAGCAAATTTTGTTCTATGAACTAATTCGATAAATCTAGCCATTTTTGATATACAGAGTGGGTCATTCAAAACAGTTTCATCCTGTTTTTCGGCATTAATTATTGGATTCTTAGAAAATGCTAAAACAGGTTGATTTTTATTACAAATTAAACACATTTTTACAATACAAACATCTGTCATGTGTTAACCCCATCCCTTCCACTTCTCCAACCTCTTAATTTTAAATAAGGAATGTACCATGTAAGGCACATCATTAAAAATATAATTTTATGGGGAAGTCAGAAATATGACAGTTTATTGCGATACTTTTAATTTTAGCGCCCTCCATCGGGATAAAAAAATCTGTAACGTATTATAAAGTGTGACACTGCATTTGAAAGCTAATTTGATTACTAATTCAATGCACCACATAACTTTAATATAAATATTTCCATATTGCACTTGCAACAAAATAAAGTTAGCAATAATGTTTAAAATAATGCATGACTAATTTTCAAACTATTGCAAGTGCAATATGGAGGATATTTATATTAATGTTATGTGGTACATTGAATTAGTAATTAAATTTGCTTTCAAATAAGGTGTACACTTTAAAATACATAGTTTTTATCCCGATAGAGGGCGGTACAATTAAAAGTATCGCAATGAACAGTCATATTTCTAAATTCCCCATAAAATTACCTTTTTAATGATGTGCCGTTGACACATGACAGATGTCTGTATTGCAAAATTGTTTTTAATTTTGAATAAAAATCGACCTGTTTTAGCATTTTCTTAAAATCTAATGATTAATGCTGAAAAACAGGATGAAACTGTTTTAAGTGACCCACTCTGTATATCAAAAATGGCTAGATATATCGAATTAGTTCATAGAACAAAATATGCTTAAAAATGCATTTTTTACAAGATGCACTGCACAAGAAAGATCCTCCCATCGAAAAAAATATTTAGCGCAGCGCCATCTACATATTGACCTATTTAAAATCAATTTATATTTAAAACTGAAACTCTCTTATTGCTCTATGAACTGGCTCTTACAGAATTAAAATATCTCTATTACCAAAATATCCGGCCTGGGAGTTTTTATTGGTACACCCTGTATAGAAGCCTGTTTGCAGAGCAATAGATAGTTTAAGTTTTTCATATAAATTGATCATAATGAAGATGGCGCTGCGCTCAAGATTTTTTTTTATAAAAAGACCTGTCAAATATAGTAGACCTTCCAGAAAATGCATTTTAAGCTGATTGTGTTCCATAAAGTAATTCGATAAATCTAGCCATTTTCGATATACAAAACTTTTTTCAAACAATTAAAATCATATTTTTGTACTTTATTGGAAACAATACTACTGTTTTTTACAAAAGTCAGACTCTCTTAGGGCTCTAAAAATTAGTTTTTACATAATCAAAAATATATCTACTCTTTTCCAAAATATTATGCCTGGGAGTTTTTATTGATATACCCTATATAAGTGTTATCTAGATACCTAGTGTCAAAAAAATCCCAAATTATAAGATAGTGTCAATAATTGTTTTAAGAATATCGTAATTTCTCAGACAGCCAGAGAATATTGTTCATTGTTCCTCCGCAAGTCGGATCCGGCTCTGCATCTCCAGCGGGAGAGATCTCTGGTTTCGGTGTTAGTCGTGCGCAGTCGTGCGGGCTGCCATATTTACAGCGAGCCGCCTCGGTGGATCAAAGCGGCCGGTGATTGGTCGGTGCCGACACAGACGGTCGGAACGCGCTTGCCTGGGCCGCACACCGCCAGTCAGTGCTCAGTTCTTGGCGCAGAGTAACACGCGTGCACGTGCTAGCAGTTCGTTTACGTATTTTAGTGACGTTATCGTGGGTGACAGTAGTATGCCGACGACTATGATGAAAACGCGCGAATGCAGATAGTGGTGCTATGTAATGTGGCTGTGATATGCCGCTGTACCGCGAGTTCAAGTGAACCATGCCACACGTCTCGTCCAGTGGCGGAGATGATCTCGGCAGCACCGATGAGGTTAAGGTGTTCAAGGACGAGGGTGACGGGGAGGACGAAAAAAGGTCCTCTGAGAACCTCACCGAGGAGAAGAGCAGTCTTATCGACCTCACAGAGTCTGAGGTAAATGCGCCCGATAAAATTATTTTACCGCGATCCCCTCTGGTTCCTTCCGACGGATCCCAGCTCTTCTTTAAAATTACCAAAACAAAGTTGTATTGACTAACAGAACCGTACCGACGTTAAATGTTCTTAATATAGTATTTACTTGTACTTCTCTCAAAATTTCAAAGGTCTGCACGAAAAAAATTTAAAAAAGTGTGATCTGACAATGATTTGCAATTATTGGAAACACCGTCTGATGTTGTGGAAGCAACAAATAATACCACTTTGTGTTTATCTACAATATAATGTTTTGCGGATATATAAGAAATACACGAGTATTTTTCCGGTCTAGGTTGAGACAGACGTCTTGTACGATTAGTTCTAGTTGCTTAGTAACCATCACAAATATCTAAATAAATATTTTAAGAAAGTTGACTTTAAGTAATTCTTACCGGAAGCGTCTATCAATAAAACAAAATAACCAATTCTTATAGCACAATGAGAATTGTTATTATTTATTGAGCTGTCAAAGATTGGGAAGCAATGCAAACTATACCTACAGTTTAGTAAATTGTACCTTGTCCACAATAGGTATCTATGGAAAATAAGGATCACTTTAGAAGATGATCCTAAGATGTGAAATAGGTACCTACCTATCTTACGATAAGGGAAGGAGAGACTTTAATATTTCTCCAACAGCTGCAACAAAAACATTTTTGTTTCATTTATTACATTTTCGGCACGTTTAAATAATAAGATAGATTACTTTTCTTCAATATCTGATTTGTGATTAAGTACATAAGTACCTACCTACAAAAATAAATAGAATAGATACCTAGGTATGTCCCAAGAATAAAAACAGTTTTAAATACCTATAAATTCTCCATAAATAAATTTTATTAATCATTCCATCTAGTTAGGTATGGCTTTTGTCCCAAAAAAATGCTTTACAAAATATTATAATAGGTAGGTACCTACTAAGTAAGTCTATTGAGCAGATTTATAATCATACGTTTTTAGGACCTACCTACTTACTTAACCATTGACAGTAAAATGAAATTCTAAAAACACATCGATTATGTCACAAAATAGCTTGGTTCAGGTTATTTATTTTCTATGTAGACAAATTAGAAATACATTACCCAGTATCTCTTGACATTCGTAAAATAATTTACCTGTTTTAGTCTTGTCCAGTTAGTTCTGCCCTATCGTTTGATAGGATCCTCCTAGTATATGCAAAATGATTTTATAATGACGAAAAAAACAAGCGCTCATTGCAAAGAGTTTTTTATTCAAAATACAATCCGAACTCATGCATACTAAGTAAATACCTACACTTTTCCATATAAAAAACCTCGCCATTAGACGTGCATACAACTATGGTACTTACAAGGAATTGTCAAAATTTGTATCAGTCTTATTAGGTAGGTACCTATCCAAGATTAAGTGTTGGGCAAAATTCACCCAGTTTTCTACATACTATCTTGACAAGGCTTTAAGTACCTATTCTGGATCCTACTGATAAAACCTGAAAACTAACCAAAGAAAGCAGCAAAGCACCTGGGGATTTTTGAATATTTTAAGGCTATTTTTATACCCCATTCAAAAATTGGATGCTCCTCGTTTTTTTTTACAAAAATCACTGCCTTTTGCTAGCTTCGAAGGAAGCTACCAGAGCCACCTTCTACAACATTAAAGAATTTCTCAATTAAAATCTTATACCTATACACAGAAGATATTGTGCCTACCTATTGTTTTTTTTTATAATTTCACTATATTTTTATTTATTTTGTAATTAGTACTTACGTCTGTATAAATATTTTGAACCGGTGAATAAATTTTATTATTAACAAGTTTAAAAAAGTAAACCATTCTTAAAACTCTCAAAAGTGCAAGAATACTAAATAGGTACCAACTTTATAATAGGCGTACTTACCTAGCTGTTTGATACTTTATCACTGGTTGCGGTACCAATATAAATTAGCTTAGAAAACCGACGAACTAAAAACGTTTATTCCGTACTTACCTAATAGATAGAATTAGTATTTATCTCGGTATTTCTTCGAATGCTATCAAAAATTGGATTTAACGCTTCAAAGGATGATCTATTTGTCAATATTTGACAACTTTCTGCTCCATAGATCTGAAGTTATTATTTTAAAATACATACTTAGTTACCTATTTGGTAATTTTATTGATTACTATTTTCTTTATTTACCTGTCTTAATTATGTTTTCAGCATAATTATTCAAATAATACCTAGGTAGGTATAATATTTAGTTTAACTGTATACTAAGTTGTATACCTACTTTTATTTAAAATAAAACAAAATCATTATATAATTTTACTAAAAATTTCAAGAAATGATAATTTTCCACGCAAACAACATAATTTTTTCATAAAACAAAAGCAGAACAGTGATAAAGTAATGAGGACTTGTCCATTAATTACACACAGCGGAAATTAATTGAAATAATAAGGAACTTAACCTTACATTTGACCCAGCGGGAGATGTAGATGGTGAACTAATTAAAAAAAGAAAATTATATAGCCCAGTTTTAAGGAACATTCTCGGCAACATAAGTTTTTTTTTTCAAAAACGACATCATATTTTTAGGCTCCTAAAATATTATAAAACCATTCGAAAAAATTGTTATTTTTAAAAAATACAGGATGCTTTGCTAGCTTCGAATGAAACCAGCAGAGCACCTCGGTTTTTCAAATCTTTTTTTCCAACAACAACCACCACACGGTATTTTTAGGCTTTTTATGCTTTTTTTAGGTCCTTGAAATATAAAACTTTTCGAAAAAAATTACTTAGTATTTTTAAAAATTCGAACAAATATAGTATAACGCACTTCAATTTTATAAAAACCAAAGAATTATATTTAATTACCCAAATTTAATAACTACCGTAAATCAATACATACAATAATAATTTTACAACAAATCGTGTCGATTGATAATACCAGAATGAATAGAATCATCGCCCTGTCCCATTATCGCATTCCTTTGCGGGCCGGTCGATCTGAGTCACTTTCCCCGAAATACGACTCTACCGGGTGTCCCTCATCGATGCGGCGTTACAGTCGGCCATGCTGCCATTTTTCCGTCCCGGAAAATTTATCAACGTAAATCTGGAAAACATAAATAAACATATAAGCAAACAATGCTTTTTCTCAGAAAGAAAAGAAATAAGAGATGATGTAAATGTTGGCCAGACATCCCATCATCGCTCTTAGCTTTCCTATAAAAATTATTTTAGAAACAATAATAAAATATTAGACAACATTTTCGTCCTCAGGGTTTGTGTCTGAGTTGTCACTACTGCTTTCACAGGCAGCCGTAAAGGGTTTCATTCGGTCAACCGAACAAACTCCTCGATATATCTTTCGTGCACGTTTAGAGCCTGGCAGGTCTTCTACTACATATCTGTCACGTTCGAGTATTTCTTTAATAATGTAGGGACCATTATACTTAGGCACTAGTTTAGTACTCTTGCCGTTGTTTGCAAGATTTGCCCGTCGTAGAACTACTAGATCTCCTACCTTGTACTCTTGACATTTCTTTCGTTTCTTGTCAAAATAAGCCTTTTGCTTATCTTGAAATGCCTGGATTCGTTTTCCAGCTTCACATCTCGTCTTTTGGATATCGTCTTCCATTTTCTCTTCAGTTACAGCCCCACTTAGGAATGAGTCATGCATTCCCCTTGGCTTGTACCCGAATAAGAGCTCGTAGGGACTTTTTCCCGTCGCATTATTTAATGATGAATTTATACTAAAGACCACAGAACTTATTGTGTTGTCCCATTTCCTCTCATCTTCATAAGTGGTTGATATAGCGGCCAATATTGTCCGATTGTATCGTTCTATTTGGCCATTGGCACGTGGAGTTGCAGTAGCATTTAGGACAACCTTTATGCCCAAATCTCTAGCGAATGCCGTAAAGGTATCGCTCGTAAAACAAGAACCTCTATCGCATATAATTCGCTTAGGCACACCGAATGTCCTAAAAATATTTTCCATAAAGTCCTTGACTGGTCTGGTCTGTGTACTTTTCACTGGCTTTGCAAATAAAAATTTGGTAAATGCATCAATTACCATAATCAGGTAAGCGTTTCCTTTTGTACTTTTTACAAAAGGTCCCAAGTGATCCACGTGTACGGTATCCATGGGAATCGTAGCTTTTGGGATTGGATGTAGAAAACCTTCTTTCTTTCCGCTTGGTGTTTTGTTATAAGCACATTGTAAGCAGGCTAATATATAACGGCTAACGTATTTCTTCATTCTAGGGAACCAATATTTATTTCCTATATTTTTAAAAGTCTTCTCAATTGCAAAATGTCCCATATTGTCGTGGTGATACATAGTTACTACACGTCGAGCAGCCTTAGGAACATACCATTTGAGCCCTTCTAAGGTCTTCTTATATAATTTGTTATTCTTGAGTTCAAAATCTTTATGGATCTGTCGCTCTTCATGATCTTGTGGTTTCCTTGAAAGAACTTCTATTAAGTGTTTGGCTTGATCGTCTTTTAGTTGTGTTGCTAAAACCCAGTCTTCTGTTGTTATGTCCACCTGATAAACATCAACTTCCTGAGTATCTTGAGGCTCATCGACAGGATTACGACTCAGTGCATCTACGTGAGCCATTTTAGTTCCGGGTCTGTACACAACCGTAAAACTAAATTCTTGTGTTATAAGCCACCACCTTCCTATTCTTGGGATGAGGTCACGTTTCGTCATCGCTGTCCTCAGAGCATTACAGTCGGTTACAATTGTGAAGTCAAGTCCTAGCAAGTATACACGAAATCTTTGTAATGAATTTACGACCGCTAACGTTTCTAATTCGTACGAGTGGTATCGTTGCTCTTCTTTTGTAGTTTGTCGGCTGTAATACATTACAGGTTTTAGTTTATTATTATCATCTTGTTTTTGCATGAGAATTCCACCAAGACCAAGCTTTGAAGCGTCTGTGTGCAGCTCAGTGTCTAGCTTTGGATTATAGATGGCTAAAAC